GGTTGGCGCTGGAGGTGCTGGAGCCACTGGTCCTGGAGGTGCTCGTACTGGCGGTACTGGAGCTGCTGGGACTGGGGGTGCTACTGGAGCTGCTGGAGCTGGTCCTGCTGGAGGTGCTGCTGGTGCTGCTGGAGGTACTGGAGCTGCTGGAGCTGCTGGTGGTGCTACTGGTACTGGGGCTGGTGGTGCGGCTGGTGCTGGTGCTGCTGGAGGTCCTGGAGCTGCTGGAGGTGCTGCTAGTGCTGGTCCTGCTGGAGGTGCTGCTGGTGCTACTGGAGGTACTGGAGCTGCTGGTGGTGCTGAGGGAGTTGGAGCTACTGCTGGAGGTTCTGGTGCTATCTCTGCTGGTTCTGGGGGCACGTCACGGCCACGGCCGTACTTCGTTCCCCTCCTTCAGCAGGTTCTTAGTCAGCCGCCTCCTCCTTGTCCTGCTCCCTCCTTATAGTGTCCTCCGCCTGTCCAGTCGCTGTCACAGCTACCGCCTGCCTCGCCACTCCCTGGTCCTTCTCCCTACACTGGTCCGACAGGCGGTCTTACGGAGCGTCGTGAGCCTGAGTCTCGTCCTGTGTCGCCTGAGTCTCGGTCTGCGTCACCTGTTCGTGCTGCTCGTACTGGTCGTCGTGTCCCGCGTCAGCGTCCTCCTGCTGTCCCAGGCACTCACCAGATGGCGCTTCGTCCTTCCACTGCTCCACAGCGTGTCCCGCTGCCTTCTCCTCCTGCGTCCTCTCTTCCTGCCCTTGCTGACCCGGAGTCTGACTCTCTTCGTGCTGCTAGTCCTACTGTCACGCGTCTCTTGGCCACTGCTCTCACTGACCCTTCCTTTGAGTCAGCTGCTGCGTCTGCCTTAGTTGTTGAGCTTGTCGACTTTGCTGCTCACTGTCGTCTAGACTACGCTGCGAGTCTTGTTGCTGAGTCTGAGTCTGAGTCTGTCTGTCCTCCGTCCGTCGGGGGTGAGTGTGCTCTTGGCACGGACGTCCTTGAGGACAGGCAGGAGGAGTTTGAGTGCTTTGCTGCTGCTGTACCTCATCTTGTGGCCATGCTGCTTGCCCCTGAGGGAGACCCGGATGCTCCAGACATCCCGACCCTGCGCTCTTACGCTGAGGCGATCGCGGGTGAGTACTCCTCTCAGTGGCAGTCAGCCATGGACGCAGAGATGGCATCCTGGAAGTCCACTGGCACTTACGTCGACGAGGTTCCCCCCCCTGGGGCGAACATCGTCAGTGGCATGTGGATTTTCAGGGTGAAGCGGCCGCCAGGTTCTCCGCCTGTCTTCAAGGCTCGTTACGTTGCTCGAGGCTTCAGTCAGCGAGAGGGAGTAGACTTCTTCCAGACCTTCTCCCCCACCCCGAAGATGACCACTCTTCGGGTGCTGCTGCACGTTGCCGCTCAGCGTGACTACGAGCTTCACTCTCTTGACTTCAGCACAGCTTTCTTGCAGGGCAGCCTGCACGAGGAGATCTGGCTGCGCCGCCCTCCTGGCTTCACTGGGTCGTTCCCTCCTGGTACCCAGTGGAGCCTCCGGCGGCCGGTCTACGGTCTCCGCCAGGCGCCACGTGAGTGGCACGACACACTGAGGACTATACTTGCGGCTCTTGGGTTCGCGCCTTCTACTGCTGACCCGTCGCTGTTTCTGCGCACCGACACCTCGCTGCCGCCGTTCTACATCCTCTTGTACGTCGACGACTTGGTCTTTGCCACTGCTGACACTGAGGCTCTCGCCCACGTGAAGTCGGAGCTGCAGAAGAGACACACGTGCACAGACCTGGGTGAACTGCGCAGCTACCTTGGCTTGCAGATCACCCGGGACAGAGCACGCCGCACCATCACACTGACTCAGTCACACATGGTGCAGCAGGTCGTTCAGCGCTTCGGCTTCACCTGGTCCTCGGCACAGGCCACTCCTCTGGCTACAGGTCACTCGCTCTCAGCTCCACCTTCGGACGAGTCCGTAGAGCCGAGTGGTCCTTACCCAAAGCTAGTTGGCTGCCTCATGTACCTGATGACTTGCCCTCGTCCTGACCTCGCGTACCCTCTTGGCCTTCTGGCTCGCTACGTGGCTCCTGGTCGGCACCGAAAGGTGCACATGGATGCTGCTAAGAGGGTACTGCGCTACTTGTGCAGTACATCAGGCATGGGGCTCGTGCTTGGAGGGAGGAGCTCAGTTGTTCTCATTGGGCACTCAGACGCTTCTTGGGTTGACGACCAGGCTACTCAGCGGTCGTCACAGGGTTACACCTTCAGCCTTGGCTCTGGTTCAGTTTCTTGGCGTTCTACACGCTCGTCTTCAGTTCTCAACTCCAGTTGTGAGGCTGAGATCTACGCCACAGCCATGGCTGCACAGGAGTTACGCTGGCTCACCTACCTGCTGACCGACTTGGGAGAGCCGCCTCGTTCTCCTCCAGTGCTGTACGTCGACAACAAGGCAGCCATTGCCTTGTGTGAGGAGCACGGACTGGAGCACAGAACGAAGCACATCGCTCTGCGGTACTTCTTGGCTCGAGAGTTGCAGCAGCGTGGTCAGCTTCGTCTGCGTTACGTGGCCACTCGGGCCAACACTGCTGATATATTCACCAAGGCACTTCAGTCTGGTGATCATCAGCGTTTTTGCACTATGCTAGGGCTTGTGCCCACTTTTCCTCACTTGCTGTAGGCTTTGCTTGTACTGTGATCTATATATATATATACCTGCATGCTTGCTTTGCTAGGTAGAGATCACTGTGATGTTTGTGTTGCATATATGCCTCTGCATGTGAACTGGCCTTGTGGCCCTTTGCTTATGCTCAGTGAGTGTGGTGACTTTGTGATCCACCCTGAGCTTGCTTTGCCCTTCTTGACTGGTCTTGTGACCCCTTGCTCTCCCCCACTTTGCCTATGGGGGTGTGTCAAATGTCATATCTGCTACAGTTTGTTTAGGCTGTAGTGGGGTAGTTACTATGGGGTACAGTAAGTTTAGGGTTTCCTACTTGTACCCAACTCTTTCCTAGTTCAATCACTCTTGTTGATTCTAATACCAATGACTACGCTTCCCTCACAACAATGCAAAGAGAAGGAAAGCAAGTAACAACGGCCAATATCATTGATACTCAGATTTTGCCAGGCGCGGTTCGAAAACGTAATCAACCAATAATTTCTCGCTAAAGTGACTACATTTATAGTTTCATCTAGTTTTAAGTACAATTTTAAAACAAAGTCGCCACCAGCACCTTAACTGCACGTACCAATAAAACAGGAAATATACTAAAACGCTTGGATATTAACCTTAAATGAGACGTCAAGTGTTTTAACTATGCCTTCCGCTTGGATGATCTCAACGAACAAACGACACCGTTCAGCAGAGCTTGCTGCCCGCATACAATTAAAAATAAACCCCATGCGGAAAGGCATCTAGTCCGAGTGGCATCAACCTTAAACACCTTGTCACATGCCGTTTAAGGTTGATGCCTCCGTTACATAACATGCCATTCGATGTGGTCTTAGTTTTCTTCTGTTCTAGGTCAGCAGCTTCATGGTCGACAGAGGGTTGACGGTGCCGTCGACCCCATTCCGTTGAATTATTCCCAGTCTGCATCCTTTTTCCTAGTGGTTATTTTTAACGCAATTTGCGCTTGATACAATTTCTATTCCCTGGGTATCACCTCGACACAATTGTTTTAACTGAGGTAATCGTGTTTTGGTTCTGTCACATTTCGCAGGTGTTATTTGCGTGGAAGTGTGATTGAAAAGCGAGAACCAATCAGCGATGAAAAATAGAGGTTGAGTACCGATGCAAACTTTCTCTGGCAGAGTATCAATGATATGGGCCGAAGTAACAAAAACAGAAAGCACCACCATGACGGTGCCTTTCTGCTTCAGCTCTCCCTCTGTGTCGCTTTCCATTGTGGCTGCTGGTTGCATTGCGGCGTAAGGGTGTAGTTCTTTTGAATTAAAGTACAGAAAACGGTCAAATAGTTACTGATTACCGGCTTTGCCAATTTCGCGAGAGCGAAAATTGAAGTGCGATTGTCGACTTGGTAAGTCAGGCCACCAATCTGACAATCGAACACACGTTCGAATGCGCACTCGCACGTGTGGTCACTGTCGTTAATGCTCGACAACTCCACGAACTAAACGCGTTCTGGCGACAACTACTTCAAAAACTTCGTCCTAACCGTCCCCCCTAGGCTTGTCCTGGAGTGAACTGTATGCATCTCAGCATTCCTGCTTGACCAGATGAGCGAGCAAGTGGGTGGGTTGCTTGCTGCTGGTGCTCTCCGGCGTCTCTTCTATTGCGAAAGATTTATCCTTGTCCACCTGGGGATTTCGCAGCGCACTGCGCGATTCGCTCTGCGCTCGAAATGCTGCCCACTCTGCAGCCAGCCCCAATGTCCCTTTCCCTGCACCATTCGCTCCCACTCGCGCCACCGCAGCGACCTGCTATGTGCGGGGCACTGGAAGATTGGCCCGATGGGGGAGAGCCCACCGCGCTGCGACCAGCTCACCTTGCTGCTCCGCCGGTGACAATCTGCCACGATGGCGAGCGAGTTCCGGCCAGCTGCTCTGCAGCTTTGCCCACTCGCCGGCCCACTCGTCGCTTCTCGTTCCACACTAGGCGACCCGCTCCGACCAATAGACGAGAATCTCTTGTAAAAAGCCAGTCTCTTGTATTCATGCATCCGAATCGGGACCCACTTTCGTCCCATGAACAAGGAGCAGCTTATCAGGTACCCGACCTGATTGGGACTCACTTTTACACGTATTAGTACCAATCTTCCAGGAGCAGTAATCCGCACAGCGATAGATGCGAGGAGCGGTGAGAAAAGCAGGCACGGCGTGTGTACCTGGCAGTCTATTATACTTCCTGCCAGGCAGCAACAGCAGCGGGAGCAGCGACGGCGGGAGCAGCAGGCATGGCAGTCAACCCAGAGCGCCGCTGCAACGTGTACTTGAGCACGAGCACAGACCAAGGCGGCGGCTTGACGGCCATAACTAACCTCGGCGCTGGTGCCAGCAGCGTCGGTGGCATGGGGCCGCGTTTCCGGCCCCGCCAAACGCAACCTGGCAGCACCATCCATGTCGTCGCCGAGACGCCTCACCCCGATGCGCCTTCATCCGATGCAGGCCATAGCGGTTGCGTGCACTCGCCGCAAGCTCCGCTTGTACCCCCTCGCTGCGCCGCTCCTGAGGCGGCGACTACAAGCCTCCCAGATGCTGCTGCTACGTCTCGGCTAGTTGGAGCCGGAATGGCGTCGGTGACAGCAGCAGCACCCGTCGCGTCGTCGAGCAATGCACCCGACGGCACGGCGATGACGAGAATCGCGGCAACGACGATTGCTGCAATCCCCACTGCTCGCGGTGTTCGAGGTCTTAACTCCAGAGCACCTGACGAGGAGCCGTTACCTGCTGGGGCCATAGAGCTTCTCTCGTTAGTGCGCGGCGGAAAGGCCGCGCCGCTCTCTCCCCGCCCGCCTCCCGGCAGCCCCTCCGGTTTCCGCCGCGTTCGCCACTTTCGATCCGCGTCGGTTGGCGGATCAGTCATTCCCCGCACTGCGGACATCGGCGACGCCGACGGCGCGGATCGCCCATTCCCGTCGCCTTCCCCGCAGCCTCCACAGCGCAAGGCGACGCCGCCCCTCTCGGCGTCCGCGGGCAGCGCAACCCGACTCTGGAGCCCGCGGGACGCAACTCCCGGAAATGCTCCCGCCGCGAGTGCTTCCCCGTGGCGCGTCCCCCCCGCCTCCCCCCTTCCTGCCGTCGCAGGGCGGTCCGCTGGCAGGGTGCACGGCGGTGGTGCGGTGGGGAGTGAGTCCCGCGCGCAGGCCGACCGCCAAGCACGCGAGGTGGAGTGGAGCGCGTGGGAGTCCGAGCCCGAGTGGGAGTCGCAATGGGAATCCGAGTCGGAGTGGGAGGAGTGCGTTGTGGCGCGTGTGCTGGACGGCTTCAGAGCGCGGAGGAGGTCGCCCAACACGACCATCGCAGCGGTGCGGCAGCAACCGCAGCAGCAGCCCCAGCAGCAGGAGCAGCAGCAGCAGCAGCAGCGGCAGCAGCAGCGGCAGCAGCAGCAGCAGCAGCAGAGGCGGTATGAGGCAGTGGGCCAGTCACAGCGCAAGCAGCAGGAGCGGGGTGCTGCCAGCAGCAACCTCCTCGCAGGGCACCCTCCGTGCGCCTCCCCTGCTGTGCCCCCGGCGCTGGTAAGGCGCACAGCCCATCGCATTCCGCGGATTGCCTCCGCGCCTGGCAGTCTCGCACTCATGGTGCTGGCCGCGGCGGAAGGCGCGAGCACGACTGGTGGAGGGAAAGGTGCAGCGCACGTGACAACCGTCCCTCTTGGCAGCACCAGTGCCCCGTTGCAGCAGAGGAAGGTCACTACCTCGCCTCCCGCCAGAGCCCCTGCTTTGCTGCACCCCTCCCGCCGCGCCTCCCTGCCCCCTTCCCTCAGTTCACCCGGGAGTTCCCCCCAACAACCCGCAAGCTTCCCCATCCCCCGAAGCTCGTCCGCGGGCACGCCTCTTGCGCCTGTCGCGCTTCTCGCTCCGCTGCCACGCGCCACCCTTTCCGTGCCAGCAGCAGGAGCAGGAGCAACAGGAGCAAGATTAGCAGGAGCGGTGGGAGCAGGCATGTGGCACCGTGGATGTGCTCCTCGTCGGCGTGCAGGATCACTGGATGAGACGGGCACGAGGAGGCCGCCACACGCCTGGACACCCACCACAGCCGCTACAGCCTCCACATCTGCTGAAGTGGCCAGCAGCAGGTTGAGAGGGGGCGGGGGCAGTAGCAGCGGCATGGGAGAGGGAGGTAAGGGTGTGAGAAGACGTGCAGAGGAAGGTGCTGAGCAACTTCCTGCCACAATGACACAGGGCCTCCGTTTAAGTGCAGCTTCCTCGGATAAGCGGCTGGGGAGCCAAATTTCTGGTGGTAACCAAACAATTCGTGGCAACCAGTTCTTGGCTGATCTTGGTGGTAACCAGACTGCCCTTGGCAGTAACCAGGCGTTTGCTGGTAACCAGTTCGCTATGCACACCCGCAGTCGCAGTGTCGACGCTGTTGGGTATGAGGCCGGTGGGGGGCATGCGCGGATCCCGTCTGCCACTGCAGGTTTGGCGTCACTCGCGGCCACCTTCCCTGCTGCGAGCATCCATCCAAGCCCTCCCATGCCGTCTCCACTTCCAGCTGATGCCCTCCTGCCAACAATTGCTTACACTCAGTTCTCTGCTTCTGCTGTTGCTGTTGCTGTTGCTGCTGATGTTACTGCTGGTGGTGGTGTTACTGCTGCTGGTGCTGTTCCTTCGTCTGGTGTTACCGGTTTGACTGCTGCTACTGGTGGTGGTGGTGTTGCCGCTGTTGCTGCTGGCGCTGACAGAAGGACCCGCTCCGATTTCCTTACCTTTTCCAGTGCCAGCTTCACAAAGACACCTCTTCCGAGCAGTATCCATGCTTCTGCTGCTGCTGCTGCTGCTGGCTCACGTGTCGATGCCCCTGCTCGTTCTGCCCGTCCCGCTGCTGTGCCGGCTGCAGCACGAGCCAGCAGGGATCCGATGGAAGGGCCAATGAGCACACTGCTGATCAGCAGCAGCAGGAGCGGTGCGCTCATGATCAGTGGGTGGGCGAGGAGCAAGTGGGAGCAAGCTGCAGGAGCACGCAGTGTCAGCAGCGTTGGGGCAACCCAAGGCAACCAGGAAGGTCCGTTTGGTCGTGTGGCCCATGGGCGGACGGCGCACCACCGTCAGCCTTTGCCTAGGTCTTCCAGTATTGCTACTTCGGCACCTGCTGCTGCTGCTTTTTCTCCTGCTCGTGCTATTTCCATTGATAATGCTGTTCCTGTGACTGCTGGTGCTCCCGCCATTCAGCAGTTGTCCAATGCCGCAGTTGTCCAGCGTCAGGTGAAGGTGGGAAAGAGTGTTACTGGCAGCGGCGGTACCACCTTCTTGGCAACAGCAGCAGCAGCGGGCACCGGAACCATGGGGGTGGCAGGAGTGGTGTTGCTGGCAGCACAGAAAGAGGAAGGGGCAGCGTGGGAGGAGGTGTTGACAGTGTCAAACCAGGTAGAAGCACAGGCAGCAGAAGCAGGGGCAGTGGTGGGAGCGACAGTGACAGTGACAGTGACAGCAGCAGCAGTGCATGCACGCCCACCACCATGAATCTGAACACAGCCACCACCAGCACCTGGAAACCCTGCCCTAGCAGCCTCACTGCCTGCAAGCATGAGACCCATGGGGATCTGCTAGCTGCTGTCTTGAGCCACGTGCTCACCCACCTGCACTACCCACGTTCCTACTCGGAACCCATGGCCCCGCCTTCAAGCGCATGTGTCATGGGGCACAGAGTGAGCCGGTTCCAAGGGCACACGAGGCATGGCCTCGGCGGCGCCGACGGTGCGGATTGTCCTCTCCCACCGCTTTCCCCGCAGCCTCCACGGCGCAAGGCGGCGGCCCTGCTCTCCGCGGCCACGGGTAGCGGAACCCGCGGCGATGCGCCCCCCGCGAGTGCTTCCCCGTCTCGCGTCCCCCCCGCCTCCCCACTTTCCGCCATCGCAAGACGGTCCGGCGGCAGGGCGCAGGGCGGTGGTGCGGGGGGGAGTGAGTCCCGCGCGCAGGGCGACCACGAGGTGGAGTGGAGCCGGTGGGAATCCGAGCCTGCGTGAGAGTCAGAATGGGAATCCGAGTCGGAGTGGGAGGAGTGCGTTGTGGCGCGTGTGCTGGACGGCTTCCATTCGCGCGGGAAGGCGCCCAACACCAACAATGCAGCGGTGCGGCACTCGCAGCACCGGCAGCAACTGCAACCGCAGCAGCAGCAGCAGCAGCAGCAGCAGCAGCAGCAGCAGCAGCAGCAGCAGCAGCAGCAGCAGCAGCAGCAGCAGCAGCAGCAGCAGCAGCAGCAGCAGCAGCAGCAGCAGCAGCAGCAGCAGCAGCAGCAGCAGCAGCAGCAGCAGCAGCGACAGCGATATGAGCGAGGTGCTGCCAGCAGCAAGTTCCTTGAACTGGACAGGCCGTGCGCCTCCCCTGCTGTGCCCCCCGGCACTGGTAAGGCGCACAGCCCAGCGCATTCTGCGGATTGCCTCCGCGCCCGGCAGTCTCGCACTCATGGTGCTGGCCGCGGCGGAAGGCGCGAGCGCGACTAGTGGAGGGAAAGGTGCAGCGCACGCGACAACCGTCCCTCTTGGCAACACCCCCCGGGCCCCGTCGCAGCAGAGGAAGATGGTCCCTTCAACTTCCGCCGGAGCCCCTGCTTTGCTGCACCCCTCCCGCCGCGCCTCCCTGCTCCCTTCCCTCAGTTCACCCGGGAGTTCCCCCCAACAGCCCGCAAGCTTCCCCATCCCCCGAAGCTCGTCCGCGGGCACGCCCCTTGCACCGGTCGCGCTTCTTGCTCCGCTGCCATGCGCCACCCTTTCCGTGCCAGCAGCAGGAGCAGGAGCAACAGGAGCAAGATTAGCAGGAGCGGTGGGAGCAGGCATGTGCCACCGTGCTCCTCGTCGGCGTGCAGCGTCACTGGATGAGACGGGAACAAGGAGACCGCCACACGCCTGGACACCCACCACAGCCGCTACAGCCGCCACACCCACCACACCCACCACACCCACCACAGCCGCCACAGTCGCCACAGCCGCTACAGCCACCACACCCACCACACCCACCACACCCACCACACCCACCACACCCGCCACAGTCGCCACAGTCGCTACAGTCGATACAGCCGCTACAGCCACCGAAGTGGTCAGCAGCCAGTTGAGAAGGGGCGATGACAGTAGCAGTGGCATGGGAGAGGGAGGTAAGGGTGTAAGATTACGTGCAGGGGAAGGTGCTAAGGCGCAGGGCGTCCGTTCAAGCGCAGCTTCCCCGGGTAAACTGCTGGGGAGCCAGATTCCTGGTGGCGACCAGACAATTCGTGGTAACCAGTTTTCGGCTGGTACTGGTGGTAACCAGACACCGCTTGGCAATACCCTGGCTTTTGCTGGTAACCACTTCGCCAGGCACACCCGTAGCCGCAGTGGCAGCTCTGTTGGGTATGAGGGCGGTGGGGGGCGTGCGCGAATCCCGTCTGCCACTGCAGGTTTGGTGTCACTCGCGGCCACCTTCCCTGCTGCGAGCATCCATCCAAGGTGCCCCACGCCGCCTCCCCTCTCAGTGGATGCTTTCACGCCGACCCGTCAGCCAGAACTCACCCACCCTCTGGCTGCTGCTGCTGCTGTTATTGCTGCTGCTGGTGTTACTACTGCTGCTGGTGCCGCTGCTGATGTTGGTGCTGCTGGTGTTACTGGTGCTGGTGGTGCTGATGCTTCTGCTGCTGTTGCTGGTGCTACCAGTTCTGACAGAAGCAGTACGCATAGAAGGACCCGCTCCGAGTCTCTAGCCAGCTTCACAAAGACATCTCTTCCCAGCAGTATCCACGCTGCTGCTGCTGCTGCTGGCTCACGTGTCGATGCCCCTGCTCGTTCTGCCCGTCCCGCTGCTGTGCCGGCTGCAGCACGAGCCAGCAGGGATCCGATGGAAGGGCCAATGAGCACACTGCTGATCAGCAGCAGCAGGAGCGGTGCGCTCATGATCAGTGGACGGGCCAGAAAGAAGTGGGAGCAAGCGATAGGCGCATGCAGTGGCAGCAGCGTTGGGGCAACCCAAGGCGACCAGGAAGGTCCGTTTGGTCGTGTGGCCCATGGGCGGATGGTGCACCACCGGCAGCCTTTGCCAAGGTCTTCCAGTATTGCTACTTCGGCACCTGCTGCTGCAAGTGCTTCCGCCATCCAGCAGTTGTCCAATTCCGCAGTTAAGCATCTGTCCTCAAGGCCCCACCGTCTGCAACATGTGAAGGCAGAAAAGGGAGCGACTGGCAGCGGCGGCAGCAGACTTGGTGGCAAGAGCAGCAGCAGCGCGCACAGGAACCGTGGCGGTGGCGGGAGTGATGCTGCTGGCAGGTCAGACAGAGGAAAGAGAACAGTGGGAGGAGGAGGTGTTGGTGGTGTTAAACCACGTAGAAGCACAACCAGCAGGAGCAGTGGTGGGAGCGACAGTGACAGCGGCAGCAGTGCATGCACGCCCACCATCATGACCCTGAACACAGCCACCGCCAGCACCTGGAAACCCCACCCTAACAGCCTCACTGCCTCCCACCCCTGCGCTGCCAGCAAGCATGAGCCCCAGCGGACTCCACTAGCCGCTGTTGTGAGCCACGTGCTGGCGCACCTGCAGTGCCCATGCTCCTTCTCCGAACCCACAGCTTCATCCTCCAGCACAGCTCCCACGGGGCACAGCATGAGCCACTTCCATGCACACACGAGGCATGACACCCATGGGGACTTCGTGCAAGGCAGCTCGGAGGAGGATGATGGGGGTGAAGATTGGGATGAGGATGTGCATGGGGATGGGAGCGGAACAAGGGCTGGTGGCTGTGGAGGTGAGGAGGGTAAGGTTGTCGGTTGGCAAAATAGGGCCTCGCTGCCGGCCTGCTCTCGTCCCCCACACGCCTCCCGTCACCTCATCCCTCGCTCGCACAGCACGTCCACCCAGCACGGGACCTCCCACGCACACCAAACCTCCAAGGCTCGCCAAACCTCAGAGGCCCACCAAGCCTCCCAGGCCCACCAAACCTCACAGGCCTACCAAACCTCTCACGCCCACCACACCTCCCACGTCCACCAATCATCCCATGCCTACCAAACCTCCCACGCCCACCAAAACTCCCACGTCCACCAAACCTCCCACGCCCACCAAACCTCCCACGCCCACCAAACCTCCCACGGCCACCGAGCCTCCCACCGTCTCGGACGTGACCAACTCCAAAGCACGCATGTGCATTGCAGTAGCAGCAGCAGCAGTTGGAGTGGCAGTGTGCAGAGAGGGGGAGAGCAGAGCCACAGTAAGAGCAGCTTATCATCTGACAGCTTACCTAAAGGCTTTCCATGCAACTCCCCTTGCTCGTCCTCAAGCTCTTCCTCCCCTCGAGATTCCCTTGGAGAACCAGTGGGGGCCTTCATGTGGCGTGCGCGCACGTTGAGAGGAGTCCCTTAAGCCCTCCCACTGGCCCTCGTGGTGTATGAAGGATGGTCATTAGGAGGGAAGTGGAGGGGACGCTTTGATGGGATCTCTGGTGTTAGCATCTTTACAGTCTCATTCGCACAGATTGACGGCAGGGTAACAATGTGGGACATGAAATTATGTAATATGGCAGGCTACGCAGCACCGTTCCTTCCTCTCCACTCCAACCCCTCCCCCCCCCCCGCAGGGACAACTTTATTATTTGAGGCTGTCTAAACGTCTGACTTTTCAGACGAAATACTTTCAAATGTCTGAAATTTCATATAATTTGCTTAGTATATTTTTACTTCGTTTCAATCTGATCTATAAGGGAAGCAAGATGTCCAATACCGTAATACCCTAGATATAAGACCCAGGGGTATTATAAGAATCCCACCCCAAAAATGGGGGGGTGGGGGTCTTAACAGTTGGCTACATTTTATGAGACCCGGGTCTTATCATAAGGTCATGTATATCGCTTGTGTTTTATAAGTCATACATGTCAGCACTAAGTGCTCCGTTTTTAGCATTCAAAGGGAATACGCAGAATAAACTTTGTTTTTAGCATTCAAAGGAATACCGTACACGGAATGGACAGGATGATGAGTAGATGTGCTTTTATGACTGGTTGTTACCCCTCATTAATGAACATTTATAGGTTTTGGTGTGGAAAAGGTTAGAGTAGCTATGAGAATTGCATTTATTGCTTGTAAAAATGACCGATTCTCTAGGGGGAGGGGGGTCGTATATAGTTAGCCCCCCTTTGGGAGGGTATAACTACAAATGACCTATTTAGCGTACCTCCCTCCCTATTATGGACCCGAGGGTCTACAATTGGAGGGGGTCTTATATCCGGGGTATTACGGTAAGCCAATAAATGAACACGAACCAAAATGGCTGGATCATGAATCCAACGCTACAAATGCAAACTTTTACATAAATGGCATATATTGCACCGTTTTCTTAAGAACAGAGTGTAACGGAATGATTTTGATTAGCAAAGCAAGGGGTACAAATAGGAAACCCTAAAACTATTGTACTCACTAAAGAGCACCTCACTGTTGCCTACAACAAATAACAACATTTGACACACCCCCATAGGCTAAGTGAGGGGCATCAAAGCAAGTAGGTCACCAAACGGTCACAAGACCAGCCAAAGCAAGCAACAAAGCAAAGCTCAGGGTCGATCACGACGCCACCACGCATTCTGAGCACAAACAAACGTCCACAAGGCTAGTCCAAAAGGTTACCAAGATATATAGGTGGAAATACAAGCAGAGCAAGGTTACGGCAGACGAGCAACAGAGTCAACAAGCCCTAACTGCACACAGAACCAGTGGTGATCACCAGGCGCCAAGGCCTTTGTGAAGAGGTCAGCAGTGTTGGCCATTGAGGCCACAAAGTCCAGGCGCACCTGGCCACGACGCTGCAGCTCGCGCAGGAGGAAGTACCGAACATCGATGTGCTTCACCCTGGTCTCCAGTCGAGGCTCGCGACACAAGAGAATCATGGCCTTGTTGTGAGCGAACAAGGTCGGAGCAGTGCGAGGCCGCTCACCAAGGTCGGTGAGCAAGAAGGTCAACCAGCGAAGCTCCTAAGCAGCCATAGCACCGGCATAGATCTCTGCCTCCGCGCTGGACGAAGCCACAGACGACGACCGAGCGGACCTCCACGACACAGCCCCAGCTCCCAGACTGAAACAGTAACCCTGGGTCGAGCGCTGAGTCTCCACGTCGTCAGCGTAAGAAGAGTCACAGAAGCCAGTCAACTCAACTGGCCGAGTCCCTCCAAGCACAAGCCCCATGCGTGATGTAGTCGCCAGGTACTTCGCCACCCACACGGCAGCCGTCCATTGAACAGGACGGTGCCTCACAGGTCCAACAAAGCGAGAGAGGATGCTAAGAGGGTAGGCGAGGTCCAGGCGAGTACATGTCATCAGGTACATGAGGCAGCCAACAAGCTTTGGGTAGGGACCACTGGGCTCAAAGGGCTCGTCGGGGAAGGGGCCGGTGATTTTGTGGTTTACAGCAAGATGAGTGGGCTGTGTTGTGGAGTGCTGAAGCCCAAATGGCTGAAGGACCTGCTGCACCATGTGAACGTGATATTGCGTCAACGTGATGGTGCGAGCGGCTCTGTCCCTGGTGATCTGCAGGCCAAGGTAGCACTGTAGTTCACCAAGGTCAGTACACGTGTCTTCTGCAGTTCGGACTTCACCTCAGCTAGAGCTGCCCTGTCTGGTGTAGCAAAGACCAAGTCGTCGACGTAGACGAGTATAAAGAAAGGAGTGGAGCCACACGAACAAACAGTGACGGGTCAGCAGAGGAAGGGTGAAACCCTAGGTCACGAAGCGTGGATCGAAGAGTGTCGTGCCACTCACGGGGTGACTGGCGGAGACCGTAGACTGGTCGCCTCAAGCTCTAGTGGGTCCCACGAGGGAAAGTACCAGTGAAACCAGGAGGACGTCGCAGCCAGATCTCCTCATGCAGTCGTCCCTGGAGAAAGGCAGTGGAGAAGTCGAGAGAGTGGAGCTCGTAGTCTCGATGTGCTGCTATGTGGAGTAACACCCGAAGTGTAGTCATCTTCGGGGTTGGAGCGAAGGTCTGAAAGAAGTCAACTCCCTCGCGCTGACTAAAGCCTCTCGCCACATAGCGCGCCTTGAACACCAGCGGTGATCCAGGCGGCCGCTTCACCTTGAAGAGCCACATGCCATCAACTACGTTCGCTTGGGGAGGAGGAACTGCGTCGACGTACATGCCTGTGGATCTCCAATCCATGGCCACCTTCCACTGAGAGGCCCACGGCCTTGACACTACCTCACGGTACGTGCGAGGAGTTGGTATGTCAAGGGCGTCGGGGTCTCCCTCAGGGGAAAGCAGCATGGCAAAGAGAGGGAGAAGGGGCTGCCAGGTACTCCAGCTCAGAGTGCCTGTCCTCTAGGACGTCACAGCCAAGGGCAAACTCACCCCCGACGAAAAGAGGACGGGCAGGCGGAGCGTGAACCACACGAGTGCTGTTGTCAAGGCGGCTGGCGGCGGCAAAGTGAGCGATAGCGGCAGTGAGAGCTGAGACAGACAACGGAGAGAAACGGGAGCCGGTGATACCAGTGGCTAGAACACGGGAGACAACAGGACGAATAGCATGGTAGTAGTCGGAGATAGGAGTAGGGGAGACAGGAAGAGAAGACAGAGGAGGAGACGGGAGAACGGACACCGAAGGAGGAGAACGATGAAGAGATGTACAAAGGAGGGCAGTGCTGAGGTCGGTAACGGGGGACGAGGGACGAGCACTCGGAGGACAAGGACGGGCACAGTAGTGATGGACAACAGGAGGAGGAGACTGTGGTGGAGGGGAGGACCAGACCGCCGGACGGTTGTCAGGAGGAGGAAACGTAGGACCAAACGCAGGGGGAGACTGAGAGCGGACAAGAGGAGAGGAGGGAAGACCAAGGACCCGGAGGCCACTCACGGGCGGGAACAACTGCTGCTCAAAAGGGAGCTGCTGCGACTACGGTGGTGGCGACGGCTGCTGCCGCTGCTGCTGCTGTGGCTGCGGCGGCTGCTGCTGCGGCTGCTGCTGCTGCCCCAGCAGGTCCAACTGCCGCAACTCCTGCCACTCCCGATCCAACCGCCCCTGCTCCTCGCGCACACCGGCAGGCTGCCTGGTAACACGTGTCATGGCGGTGGGGAGGCGGAGTGCTCTCTTCAGACGTAGTGCCCCCAACTCTAGTCTCCTCAAAACTAGCAGCCCCAGTACATGTGTCCCCAAAGGGGGTACCACCAGGGTCAGGGTCCCCAGCTCCAGTGCCCCCTGTCCTAGCACCCTCCGTGCAAGGACCTCCAACCCCAGCACCCCCAGAACTAGCACCTCGTGTGCCAGCACCTCCAGCTCCAGCACCCCCAGAACTAGCACCTCCAGTGCCAGCACCTCCAGCTCCAGCACCCCAAGGGCTAGCGCCAGCTCCGCCAGCACCTCCAACTCCAGCACCCCTCGAACGAGCACCCCTGGACTGAGTACCGCCAGTGGCTGCACCTCTAG